CGGAAGATGTCAAGAGGGTGAAGCTTCTCATGAAGAACAAAGGCATCTCCAGAACAATGAATCGAAGTTTCGTCGAGTCAAAGGGCAAAACACATATCTTCGAGAACGGAGACAGCTGCCACGTCGAAAGAAACGCCATTTACAATGTCTTGGATGTCATCTCGAGGATGATTGGGGAAGGAGAAAGTTCCGTTCGTCGTCTTCTCAAGTTTCGACCGGAGAATCTGGTGAAGAGCAGAGGGAATTCGCCGGAAAGACATTCAGTGAGACTGGCAACGTGTTTTGGGTTGATCTCTACGGCAACAGGAAAGCCAGTTCTGTTGAGAAACAACACAAGAATCTGCAAGAAATGTCACGAATTCTTGGAGAAAGTGTCGAGAATCACTCGAAGAGAGATCGTTGTGGGAGATTCCAAGATTTTCCATCACTTCTTCAACGGTGGATGCTCTTGTGGAAACTACTGGTGAAACTGTTCCACACAGGAATTGATAGAGATATCGCGGTACAATGTACAGTTAGCTTCTCTTCTCTTCTCTGTTTTTTCTTTTTGTATTGTATCTTCATGTTCCTTAAATCTTGCAAAAATGATGATCTTACAAGCTTATCGCATTACACTTGATATCTTGAAAGTCCTTTATGGGAGGATCCAAAGCAGACATGCAGGGACTGGTCTTCAAAAAATTGAAATTATGGGGTGAATAATAAACATAAAGAAACTTTGAGGGCTTAAGTGATATTTCCGATAAATTAGTGGTGACCATCCTCGGCTCGGCTCGGCTCGGCTTTATCGGTCGGCGCTGTTAACCTCATAGCGTCAGCGTTTCGATCGCATCTGCGTTTGAGTTCGAAACAACAGAGTTCTACGCCGTATCTCTCTATCTTCTCGTGTACAACTTCTTCACTGGGATTTTGGATTTTCTTCTGGAATCTCTCTCGATTTCTAAAAGAATTTGAAGTTTCCGTTTCGTTTGTCCGAATCAAGATCTCAACCTGTTCGTTGCGTCTTCAGTGGGGTTCTGCGTCACCCTCGGTCGTTCTCTGTTCTCTCGTAGGTCTGGTGATGATTCAGTCTTCTGTTCTGTTATTGTCGATTAGGGTTTATGTTCCCAGTTCTCCGCTAAATTGGTCTCCGAAGGAAATTTTTATTGGGTTTTTTTCTGTAGAATTGCTTGAAGAGTGCGACGGTGTGATCCACTACCTGTTCTTCTGTTCCGACAGTGTGCACATCCCAGGGCGTGGCGAATAATCACTGCGTTTCGTCTGTAATTGTCTGCAATCAATGGCTGTTTGGCGTATAATCAATCGTTCGTACGTCAAGTACGCATCGAGTCGATTCACCATGAGTTACAGTCAAGCTTCTCTTGCTTCCTCGATAAATTATGCTGCTAAGCAGACAAGGATATGTTCTTCGGACAATCCGAATTCAGATATCTGTAGAAACCCATACAGCGTTTTCGAGAACGTCAGGTTCCTCGCCTCCTCCGTTCTGGTAATCCCCAAAAAAGATGGATCTTTTTCATCATATTTTCTTCTAAGTTGCTTAGTTATGACAGTGTTTGGTAATGGTTTAAGTTCTGTCTCTGGTCCATTGATCTTCCAGCATGCTTAGTGTAATTGGTTTTTAGATGATATTGGATCTGAAACCTGCAAATTCGCATAAAGTTTATAGCTTTAGGTTTCCAAGTCTCGAGTTTTTTTGTTTTCATTCATCTGTAATTGGAAACCTTATCCCTGCGATTACATTGTGGATCTGATTCTTTTATCCACGTTTGGATTCTTATGCTTCAGATTTTGTTTATGATCTGCGTTTGAACTGTCTAGTTCCTAGATGCCGTGGTGATTAACTTTGTAGCTCTAGCAGACAAGAGAATTTGTTATATCATTTCAACCAATTGTGTTTCTTTAGGCAAGGATGAAGAAGGAGGATATCGAGATAGATGGTCCACGTCTCAATGAGCAGATTACTGCCCCATTCATTAGATTGGTGACTGAGGAAGGTAAACCGATTCTCTTTCCCCAGAGAATTATCAGCAGTGTGATTTTGTGTAATGGTTTTAAGCTTGTGGTGATGATATATTGCTTTGTAAAACAAAACAGGTTAAAATTTTGATGGTTACTTTTTTTGCCATCTGCATTCAGTTCGAGTAAAAAAGGGACAGATGAGATACTTAATATACGTTTTATAAAACGTGATGTACAGCTTTAGGACTCAGACACGAGGGAAGAGAACAAACAAACATAGATAAACCAAGATGCTGACCATCAGGAGTTTATGATATGCTGTCCATCTGAATACATGTGACTTGTTGGATTTCTACTAATAATTGTTTCGTCTGTGGACTGTTATATATTGTCATGAAGGGCATTTCGTCGTGCCAAGGAGTGAGGCGCTAAGACGGGCAAAGGATAAAGAACAGGACTTAGTTGAGGTAACTTACAAATTCTACAGTCTTCTCATATGGTCTATGGCTAGATTTATGTTTTTTTGTCTGTTTTGCCATTTTTTTGTCCTAAAACTTTTGACTTGATGTGTGTCCCTCCATTAGGTATATGATGTTTCCTCCATTTATGTCCCCTTCTTTTAGTTTTCGCCTTTACTGGATTGTTATTCAAAAGGATATTCATAGTTGTCAGTATAATGACTTGTTTCCCTTACTCTACCTTCGGCTGCCATAATATATTTCTCCATATCAATGTATGGTTCTATTTTCGTTTGCCGGTTGCTACTTTATCATGAGTTCAATCGCTTTACTGATCATTTCTGATATACCAATTTTGTATTTTTGTTCTCTTAGGTTCAAAAGGATGGGAATCCACCAGTCTGTAAAATAATGGACTATAATCGTGAGAAATACTTGAGAGCTGCCAAGGAGAAAGAACGTACTAAGGCCAAGGTATGAGATGTGTGGCTGTTTATGCTTCAATCCCGTTGTCTTGATCATATGAAATCGAGTTTTGAGGTGACGGGTTTAATTCTTTTCTCTAGAAAGCAGAGGCAACTCTCCGACCGACTGTCAAGGAAGTTCAGTTCACTCCGAAAATTGTACGTCGACATTTGAATTTTTAGAACGTCTTTGTCGAGAATTCAGAGAGAGAGAGAGAGAGAGCAATGATATTTTTTTCTGTAATTCTTCTCTTTCAGGAACTGAAAGACCTCAAGCTTAAAGCAGATCAAGCGTTGAGAATGATGGAACGTGGATATCGGGTGAAGGTAAACGACTTGTGATTTGTTTTTTAAACCTCTTACGATTATTGTTTGTTATCTCGTTAAAACCTATGAGCATCCTCAGTTCCCGACAGGAAAGAAAGTCAATCGATTTGTCTCTGTAATATGTTTCATGTTACAGTGCATAGCAGTGCCCGACAAGAATCGGGAATTTGAGCCGGAGAAACTGATGGAGCTGCTATCTCGTTTCGCTTCACTCGTATGTCGATATAACCCTGCATCTATATATGTATATATGTATCAACATTCATTCTCGATCACGGACGTTATTTCTACAGATCGAGGATGCAGTGGTGGAAAACGGGCCGAGCGTGGCGAAAAAGCAAGCCTTTGTGACAGTGAGGCACGCAAAGTTCGGGGAATCGAAGAAAGGAGGGATCAAGAAACTGAAGGACGTAGACATGAAAACGGTGCCTCAAGCCCCTCCACCTAAAGAAGACTCTACAGATGATAAAAGATCGGAACCCGATAAAAAGGAAACGACGATTGCTGATTCTGTCGAGGAGGAGAGATATGATTTCGTGGACGTTTCCGAGAAGCCTGTTGCGAATCGTAATCAACCAGTCGAAAGCCACAACAGGTATGCGAAAAGGGAACCGAGCAATCAGTTTTCAGCTGGGCGGGCATCGGATAACAGAGGCTCTGACAGTAGAGATGCGAACCGGTATGGACCTCGACCTCCAAGCCCACAAGCTTCTCAACCCCGGTTCCCGAACCAGCACCCAACCGGGGGTCAACCTCAGTATCAGAACCCACAAGCTTCTCAACCCCGGTTCCCGAACCAGGACCCAACCGGGGTTCAACCTCGGTATCAGAACCCACAAGCTTCTCAACCCCGGTTCCCGAACCAGGCTCCGAATCAGCAGCCTACCAGGTTTCAACCTCAGTCTCCAAATCAGCCCCTGAACCAGCAGCAGTCTCGGCCCCGGTTCCCGAATCAACAACCTACCAGACCCGGGGCCGGAAGGTCGAGTGGTCCAGCTGCGTCTGGTTATGGGATCTTCAGCAACCCCGGGAAGAACGACAACAATGGCGACAGATGAGACAGCCATGATTTTCGTCAGGAGTAGCAACGGTTTTTTTCATTCAAACGCCCAAAAGATTGGATTTTGATCGCTCTGGTGGAATGGCTGATGAACTCTGGATGAGATGAAGCTCTCTCTACCCATGAGATTTTACAGCAACTGTGGCTATGGGTGGGTCCCCTCTCTTACAAATTAACCTATTACATTATAGTCTTTTGTGACACTTTTCTATGGATTTTCTTTGGCCACCTAATTGTTTGGGGTCTCAACAATTTTGGATTTTATGTTATCTAGAGAGTGATTTTTGCCATTCCATAGGTCCTTTTTAATTTTACCATTTATGAATTACGGTTCCAAATAGCATGATACATATCTAAGAGTAAAAAAAAAATAGAATTGTGTGATAGGATGGCAATGATATTAAAATTTAAAATTAGATTGATTAATTTTAATTATATATTTTAATGGAATTATGAAGTTAATAATGGAATGGAGTTTAAGACGCGACTTTTCAATACTACACTAAAAAAGATGATAATTTTCGTATTTATAAAAATATAGAACGGTGTAAACGTGATATTAAAAATAAAATAATGATTAGTTTTGAAACTAAAAAAAAAAACAAGATGAAATAATAAGCGGAATTAAAAATATATCTAGAAAAAGAAAAGAGAAATGGGCTGGGCCGAGAACTAAATGGATAGACATGGTTGCGACTGGATCTGGACTCCATGGTATCTCAGTATCCAACATCGGACATGCTCTTCTTCTTTGCCCTAGCGACCAGCGAGCGAGCGGGAGAAACCAGATAGGAAGCTGAATCTCAGTTCGTCGCGTCTTCTGCTTAATCCTCCCAGAGGCAAGAATTCGAGCTTGAATTCTTGGATTTCAATCTGAAATTTGATCGTATGATGCCTTTTTTGGCTAAATTTCTTGTTATAGAGCTGTTTTGGGACGAATAGTTTCTAGGAGAAGCCGGGAGTAGATGTTTGATGCTTCCCCATAAAATGAGTTGGGAATTAACCATTTGTTGTTCTCCGTTTGACCTTTTTTGTTGAAGTTGAGTTTATTTCCTGCTTTTCGTGAGCAGAGATTCTGATGAAGTTTTGCTCGTTCTTGGTTTGATTTTGTTCTTCCATTTCTGTTCATGGGTTTTTAGGCATTGAAGGGCGTAATCTGGTATTGAGGTTTTTTCATTAGGGTATATCTCGTTATGGACTTTGATGAGTATGAGTATCTAGAGAAAACGGTCGAGAATCCCCAACTCGAGAAAGAGATTGCTAATGGCGGTGATGAGGTAGCTAAGTCCGATGAGAAAGAGAAAGAGCGGAGTAGGAGCTCGAGACATAGAAGCAATGAGAAGAGGGGTGAAGACGACGATGGTCGACGTTCCAAGAGGTCAAGATCAGGAGACGAGTCACGGTCGCGCCACCGTTCCCGTTCTAGGGATGCAGATAGGCGGCATCGATCGAGATCTAGAGATGGGGAAAGGGATAAGCACAGAAGTAGTAGGGAACATAGGGATAAGGAAAAAGATAAGGATCGTGAAAGAGATCGAGACAGGGAAGATAGAAACGGGAAAGAGAGAGAAAGGGATAAAGATAAGGGTCGGGACAGGAAAGAGCATGACCGTGATAGAGAGAGGGAGAAGGATCGATCACGGAGAAGCAGAAGTCGATCAGAAAGGCATCGAAGTCGTGAAAGAGAACACCGGGAAAGAGATTCCAAGGACCGTGATAGAGAAAGCAGGTGCCCTTTTCTTTTTTGTTTTACCATTACTTTCTTGTCTATCATTATTTTTGTTCGAGCTCAATGTGATCTTGGTGGCATGAAATTGATATATTTTTCTTTCAAGCTGCAGTCTCGACAAATATCATAGGAAGGTGTTTAGGTTTTCGGCATGCCTTAGATTGTGTTAATAAATTATAAAGAAGATTTCAACGTTTACTCCTGGATTTGTTGCAATTCACTGTCTTCACACTTTAGGGCTTTCCTTTTGTTTATGATAAGTGCTTCCACTTAAAATATTTGCTGCATTTTTTCACCGCTTCTTTGATTTTTCTTTATTTGGGAAGAGCTTTTCATGGTTGGTTCTGTTATTGGTAGCGTTATGACTGAAATTGAAGATGCTGGCATTCAGTGCTTTACATTTTCCCAATTTGACAACTGATTTTTATGATTTTTGGGTTATGCTACAATAACTGTGAATCAAACTTTTAAGTTTTAACAGGTTCATACTAATGCTATTAGGTTCATTGGTATTGCCATCTGTACAACTTGATGGGGCTCATTCCGTTTAAGATAATCATTGTTATAGAAGGTAAAAAAGTTTGTGGTTAGTGACAGACTTCAGGTTGGTCCATGCTAAATTCAAAATGAAAGAAGATCTGAGTTTAACTTTATGCGTTTATGGTCCATCTCTTGTTGACTTCGCATAGTTCCATGCAGGGCCATGTAGCTCGGGCTTCGAGTGTACACGCATATTGAAGACATTTTTTTTTGTTTTGGATTTTTATAAGTTTATTGTATCACAGTGATCCTGAAGATGGCTTCTGGTGTATGGACCGTGGCATATCTTAAAGATGTCGCCGCATCTTGAAAATTTTGAATGAAAATCTGTAGCATACAATAAGAAATGGCCTGCTAATTGCATTTTTGTTGTTATGATGCAGACGACATAAAGATAAAAAGGAGGATAAAGTAGAACCTGAGGCTGATCCTGAAAGGGACCAGAGAACAGTTTTTGCTTATCAGGTATGTTGAATGGGATAGCTGTTTTTCTTTTCCAATTTTCAACTTATGCAGATTCTTAATTTGCCGTGGGAATGCAACAGATTGCTTTGAAAGCGTCTGAGAGAGATGTGTATGAGTTCTTCTCCAGAGCTGGGAAGGTTTGTCGTCAGTTTTCCAGTTTCATGTCCTGTAGTTTTAATTCTCTCTTTTTTGCTATTATTTTACTTTTGTGGATCCTCGGACTCGGATACAGAACTAATATAATTGCCTTTTGCCTCCTAATATACATTTCAGGTACGAGATGTACGCCTCATTATGGATCGCATTTCCAGGCGTTCAAGAGGAATTGGGTAAGTTTAGGATGTTTGAGCTCTTTCAGAATGTAAAGGCAAAACTAGTCTGGTACTGTAGAGTGTAGATGTGTATTCTTCATTGTTGGCACAATGATTAGCAGTCAAATAAAGAGTAAAAGTGCTATGGTGAGTATGGTGTTAATTATTATGTTTCTGCAGATATGTAGAATTTTATGATGCAATGTCAGTTCCGATGGCAATCGCACTATCTGGGCAGCCTCTTCTTGGTCAGCCTGTAATGGTAAAACCATCTGAGGCAGAAAAAAATCTTGCTCAGTCAACAGCCACCGCAGCTGGAGCAGGAGGGCTAATGGGTCCCTATTCTGGCGGAGCTAGACGGCTTTATGTTGGTAACCTGCACGTTAACATGACGGAAGAAGATCTTCGAAAGGTAGACAATTTTCTCTCTTGATGACTGGAGCTATCGTGCAATCTTGTAAAAAAAATCATTGACTGTACACTGGTCTTCGAATATATTTTTTCTTGCGGAAGAAAAGAAATATCAGTATGTTTTAAGCACTTCTCATGCCCGTTGCATGGGCTTTTTCGAATGTTTTCTTCAAGATTATGATTTTTTTTATCTGTACGATCATATTGAATCATTGATTGTTACCAATTGTCATAATGATACTCGTTTTTACCTCCCTAGGTTTTTGAACCATTCGGAACCGTCGAGCTGGTGCAGTTACCCCGTGATGAAACTGGTCTTTGCAAAGGATTTGGTTTTGTCCAGGTAGGTTTACTTATCGTCTAGTTTGACAATGGTGGTAGGTGCTTTCTCGGTTCTTTGTCCATGTTCCTTCTGGCTAATAAAGCTCTTGTCTTTTTTTTTTTCTTTCTAAATTTTAAAGTTTGCCCGCTTGGAGGACGCTAGGAATTCGTTGAATCTGAATGGCCAGTTGGAGATTGCTGGTCGTGCAATCAAGGTTAATATTTGCTGGAAGCTAGAATTGCTCTAGAATTGTCTTTATCTTATACTAATTTTTTTTCAGTTTTCCAAACGATAATCAACAGTCCGATGCTATCACACTCAAACAAGAATCCTTTCTGTTTGTGATTAAATGTTGTTGCATGATAGCATCTTCTTAGCACACTTTTCCTTCCCCTGCATGTAAATTCTATCAGACAAGCAATCAGTCCATCTGAAATCCGCCTCATGTGATTTTATTTCCTGACAGGTATCGGCCGTGACAGATCAAACTGGAGCCCAGGACGTCGGTCCAACACAAAATACTGGTGATTTGGATGATGACGACGGAGGTGGCCTGGTTAGTACAGTACATTTCTTGATTTCTCAGGTTAAACCTCAAGAAAACAGTGGATATGGTGAATTCGGAAAAATCTATATTATCACAGTAGATGTACGCTGCTGTTCTAATTATGGTGTAGCATATGAATTATGCCGAAAGACTAATCTCGGACTTGATGAAAGGTGAACTATCGAATGCTGTTTCCTTGCTACATAGAGCCTAATCTGGTTCTGGTTATATTGCAGTCCCTGAATGCACAATCTCGAGCACTTCTCATGCAGAAGCTTGACCGCAGTGGTACTGCATCAAGGTCTCCCCCCCCCCCCCCCCCCTAAAGAAG